ATGGTCATGTCATAATGAACAGACCACCAAACCGATGCTCTTCCCCTAAGTTTCATTGCAACTAATTTCACCCTTATGTCCACAGGTCGAAGACAAGCAATGAAACCTTCTCTATTAAGATCTCCTGCAAATTCAGGAATTTTTACCCTAAAACCACCATCCCAACACCTTCCATCAAATGAAATATGTGTTGGTCTGGGTACTGCAGAGAGGATTAACAAAATCCTCTTCTAGATTGTCCTACTCAAATTCAACGCCATCTTGAGAAGGGGATGAGGTTTGCGTAACACGTTGGGCTAAAGCTTCAATCTGCCTTCTTAGATTTCCAATCAAAATAAGTACTTGTTTTGTTGTTAATCAACCGTTGCGTCCTGATTGGGCGGAACGGTTGGTCTGCGAGGTAGCCACTGGACCAGAACTTACTCTGATACCACCTAATGCAATCAGCTTATGAAAGAGAAAAAAATCTATAAAAAGGAAAAACAGAAAACTAGATCAAGCTAGAGAATAGAGTAAATACCCACAAGTTAATTCCAAAAGAAAGGGAGAGGTAGAAAGTTGCTAAGCAGGCTGGATACATTGATAATACCAAAAACTTGATAAATACAACTTGGAACAACCCTTTTATACACCACAAGGGTTGCCATAGCAAAGATTCAATCATAACCCTTTGTATAAATAAAATCTAAGAGCTACTATTTTGTCTAGCGGAATAAATACGCCAACAGTCCTTAAATGGTCACATGACTTACAAAATAGAACGAAAATGACAAAGATATCCTTATTAGAGCTTAAGGAATACATTAAACAAGAAATAAAGACAGATTTAGGACTTAATAAATGACTTAAAACCCATAAACAATCACACTTGCTTTGCATCACTTTGCTAAGTGAAACACTCTTCAATTAGACTTCAAGGGTTACACCAGTCCTTTACAACAACAATATAGAGAAGAGTTTGTGTACAATGTAGAGAATCCCTCAAAGAATAGATTTACAAATCAAAGCTCACAAGTCACAACTTTAGAGTAACTGATAAAGCAAGTGATGAAAGCTCAACTCTAGACCAAAATGTTTGAAAGCACTAAATAATCTTCAAGAGAATGCTTAAATGTTGTAAAGTTGTTATGAAAGGCCAAGGGAACTTGTATTTATAGCCATTTTAGAAGATATAACCATTTTGCCCTTTAATTTTTTTTTTTGGTAAGTTTTTTGCCCTTTAATGAACATTTGGAGGGAGTAATAAAAAACAATTTTAAATTATGTTGCACAGATAGGCGCCTAAGTGCAAAAGTTAGGTGTCTTAGTCCCTTACTCACATTCTGTGCTGTTTACTGTAAAGGTCAGTTAGGCGACTAAGTGGAACAGGAAATTGACTCAGCAACAGGAAATTGCATTTAAGCATCTAAGTTGCCTTTTCAGAATTTTGGCTGAATGTCATGTTAGGCGTCTAAGTTTTCCATTTAGGTGACGGCCTTTTACAAAACTTTAGCTCAGCTACTGAAATGTCCAATTAGGCATCTGTATGGGCCTTTTAGGCGTCTAAGTTCTGTTTTCCGAATGTTAAGTTTCTTCAAGGTCATTTAGGGGTCTTAAGTTAATCACTTAGGTGACTAAATACTTTAAAGTGCTGAACTTGACTTCCTTTAAGTCTAAAATGACTTCCAACTTGTCAAATGACTTTTATGCCCTTATAATGTTCATGAGCTAAGTCAATGATCCTAGAGACCTTAATATGATATCGTTCAGCTTCCAAAAAAAAAAAAAAAAAATGATATTGTTCAATTCAATTGTAAAGTCTTAGAGTCTCTTTAGTCCTAAAATTGAGTTTTCAATCAAAATGCATCACCAATTATTTTACATTGAATCTAGCTCTCACTAAATCCATATACTACCCATGGTCTTGCCCTCGTCTTCAATTATTTTGAGTTCGTTGAGTTTTATTTCCATGAGCCATGGTCCATTTGAGCTTTGCCATTTATCCTTGATATTCTTTGAGTTTGAGATTAAAAACTAATCAGCACAAACTCACATAGAATATTAAATTCACACTTTAATAGTTTGTTATCATCAAAATTACCAAATGCCCTTGGGTTGAAACACACTCTTTCAAATAGGATTTTTTACTTTAGTTTTGATTTATGGGATAAACCATTTTTGTCAATGAAAGAACAAACTACAAAAGCCAAACCGTGCCTTAAACAACACAACTCAAATGTCATATATGTCATGCCAGGTCTAAGTATATAAATGTGCGCTCCCACAAAATCTGAGAATGGGTATCCTCAAGAGAGGTACTATTTTTGGGGATTTACATTAAAGAAAATGCATCTGACATGTTGACAAGGCTAGTTCATGCGGAGAAGTTCTAGTATTGTTTGGAGTTGATCTATATGATATCTTGTTGAATCATTATGGCAAACCTTAGCAACATAACAGGTGCAAAGGGGTTTAATGTGGGGCAGTGTGGTGGAGGCATTAATAGAATCTTAAGAGTGGGTTATGCAAATACCCATCATGGTGGAGTTTGTTTCTATGGATATCTTGTATTTGTTCTAAGAGACATTCAAAAAGGTATTTCAAGAGGTTATTTTAACCCTCGACCAATCGAGTGCGAGTTGCACTAAAGTAGTACAAGGACTTCTCTCAAGGGTTTAACCTAAAAGGAAAGTTGAATTTATCAAAAAGTGAAAGTTTCCTTTTGAATCCCGTAAAATGCGACCAGTTGGACTAAGTAGGACCGGTCGGACTTTGGCAGATTGCAATTATTATTTACGACCATACCTCTCCCTAAATGTGACCGGTCGGAATGAGTTGGACCGGTCAGACTTGTCTAGATTGCAGTTTTAAGCTTAAAAACCTAAATGCAATTCCATTCAACTAAAAATAAAAATGTGCAATGTGTCCGCATTCGCATACCTTCTCTAAATGATGTTTCCACATGTAGTTTCACTTCCAACGGATACTTCCACAGGGCCGCTGTGGTCGTATCCATCCAACATGGATACGTGCCAGATATGGCTGGAAAAGTGTCCGATACGGTTGAGAAATATCTGGAAGTTTAAAAAAAATGTATTTTAAATTGGATACGGCAGGGTACTTTTGGGATACGACTGGGCAAAATCGTAATATTTCATAAAAACAAGGGTCTAATTGTAATAATAAAAAGTTAAGGATTAAAGAGCCCAAACCGATACTAATTGACACTCATCAACTCAATGAGAAAGAACAATAGAGAGAAAAAGGAGAAGAAGAAGAAGGGAGATTTGGTGTCTACTAAGGGATGTATTAATTTGGGTTATTCATTCATAATATCCCTCTTTCAGATCTTGCTGATTAAGTGCTTGGGGTGAATTTCTTTTGTTTCTGCTGAGGTAGTGGTTTTCCATTTTTCCTTAAGTTTTTTCTTTCTGTTTTGTTGATCTTGGAGGTTTGCCTTCAAGTTCTCTTAGGGGTTTTTCTATTATGAGGGTATGCCCTCTGTGACTTTGTGCATATTTTCTTTTTGTTTTTATGCAACCACAATTATGAAAGAAAAAAAAATTTGGGTTATTCAAGTTCTAGGTTAGAGGTTAGAGTTTTTTTTTTTTCAGTGTTTCATCTAATTGCCCTTTTATTTATAAACATATTGGTGGTTATATTTACATTCATAATGTTATGGAAAATGAATAAATATTTATTTTTTATATGTAAAAATATAATATTTATTATTTATTGTCGTATCTTGTCGAAGTTTTTTTATTGGTTCCACTTACCTCCCCTGTCAGTGACCAGAAGGTCAATTTTGCCCTTCCAATGCCCGAAATGACAACAAACATTTCATGGAAAAACAATAAACTATCACACTACATGGGAGGTAAGTGGGATTATGAAACGTAGAGGAGGTCTATGTAGAATATTGACAAACCCCAAGGAAGGTAAGTGGAATTTAACCTTCTTTATTTTAGACTGCGTTTTGTTCTCCAAAATTCTAGCGTGGCTAGCCCAAACTAAACTTACCATTCTCACTGCCTTTGGCATTTAATGTAACACCTATAAGCTTAAAATATTGTTGTCCATAGATTCACCACATTTTTTCTTTCTTGAGTTTCCAACCTATCACCTATAAAATAAAGCCAGTTCAAATCCCTCTCATCCCAAAATCTTACAACCTTTCTTCCACTAATTAAAACCCTAAATACACAAGTTTTCATTGACGTAAGCCCACCAAAAGCTGTCACAGGCAGCATAATTAAATTTCTTGATGTTATCCTTTATCAGGGGAAAAAAAGAAAAGCATGGGGTGGGAGGCAATGCATGTAGAAGATTATTCTCTTTGGTTGATCAAACACACGCACACACAAAAGAAATAAAAAAAGAAAAATGGGGTAGTTTTCTTAAGATTTAGGCCCTTCATATTATTACCTTGTTTCCTTGTGGACGTGTTTATATTGGTGCGTTGTTCAGGAGAACATCCTGTGTATATGGTGTTTTTGCTAATGCTCTTTCTACTTGTGTACATTTTTTCTTTTTTTCTTTTTTTCTTGTTTCCCCCTCCTACAAGGTGTTTCAATCTTTTTGTTAGATCCTACTTTATTTCTCTCTCTCCTGTAAATCCGCTAAAACATCAAATCAGGTGACAATCAACAATTTATAGATCCAAGGGTATTTGAATTTTTGGAGATAAGGACATTTTGGTCACTGCTGTCTGACGCTTGTGTGCATGTGCATTTGTCTCATATATGCATTTGGAAAACCTTCCCATGAAATGCCACTCAATTCATGCTATATGTTATATATACATATATATACACAACTCAGCTCAGTACATTGTTTCTTCAACTACTTGGGGTTGGCTACATGAATCCTAATTTACCATTATGCTGTGCAAGGCCATTGTCTCAGTCAACCCACATGTTAATTTATTAATATATATATATAAATTGACTTTCCATTTGAGCTGAAATATGAGCTTCCTTTGATTTATACAATACTTATAATGCTGTTACATCTTTCAACAGATTGGACAGCAGAATTTGGCTTTTGGACTGAAATTTAATGCTAAAGGAATTGTTGATTGCTATGAGAAAGATCTTGAGAGTCTTCCTTTTGGTCAAAGGCGTGATATTGAATTTAAGATGATTGAAGGAGACTTCCAACTCTTTGAAGGAAAATGGTCCATTGAACAGGTAAGATCCTCCACTATTATTAGAACTGTGGTCCTTGTGCCAGTCATGAAGCATTTTGTCTGAAGGAAGTGTCCATGGTCATTGACTATGACTTGTTTGTTATGAGATATCTATTTATAGCATTTTAGTTTTAAAAATTATAATGGTTTCCATATCAATAGCTCAAGTTACATGAGTTGTTATCTTCTTTGTGTGGTCAGTGACTCAGTGGGGAAGTGACTGATTCAATAGATATGATTAACTGCTGCCACGATTTTTGTGCGTAGTTAAAAAGTTGAGTATTCTTCTTAGGTAATGAACATATTTGTAGCTTAAGGTTTTGCCTGGAGGGTGTGATTTCTGAAGTTTGGGCTTTTTTGTTAATTTTATATGTTTGTCACTTAAAAAGTTCTAAGAAAAATAGTGATAGTTTTAAGGAAGGCGATATTATTATTTTATTTTCTCATTGGCTTTAGTTTTTACTTTAGGATTTCATTTTTGATAAAGATAAGCTATGTAAACATATAGAAATCGTTCTTTGAAGTTAGTGAAATCTGAGCTCAGCTTGAATTTTTTTGGGGACTGTTAGAAATAAGAGAGAATAAATATGATATTGTATTGATGTGAATAATATAAGAATACATTTGGGTTTATATAGGAGACGTGTGGGGAGTAGGTAGACCTAAACCCTATATGGTAAACCTATATTCTAGCATACATAGCTTATTTAATTAGTTTATCTATTATTCTCTTTTTTTTTTAATTTTTTCAAATCCGGATTCATACTTTCTAGCATACATATTAAAAAATATGGGTAAAAATAGTCACAAGACTCACAACTCACAAACAAATATATGAAAAATGTAGATATATACAAATTTATAATAACAAAAGTCAGTAAAACTAAAAAATAATTAGAAAAAAGAACAATATAACCTGATTTAGAAAGCCCCAATTCAATGCTGCTGCAAATTTTCAATAAAAGAAAATGAATATTGAGTCGAGAAGAAAGAAAATTGTAAAATTGTAATGAGAGAGGACAGATTACTAGTAACTTGTAACTTGTTGAGTTTGCTGAGAGAGGAGAGAAATCAAAATGAACATGAGGATTAGGAATAAGAAAAAATATATAAATAAATAAATAAAATATGAAAAGTTTCTTCGCTTCCCAATACAACAGCTAAATATTTATTGTGGTGCATATTAAATATATATAGCGCTGGTGTAAAAAAAAACGTGTATAAGATAGACAAAGAAATAAAATATTAATGAGATGTTTTAGGAGAGAAATAAAAAAAATGATATCTTTTAGAAGATAAATAATTTCTCTCTTGAATAAAATTTAATGAAAAGGCGGAGAAAAAAACAAAAAGAGAAGAGTTATTTTAGGAGATAAATTTTTTAAAATTAGTGTTCAATAAGGAAACCATTACAATATATCATATACAAGGCAACTATAATATTTTTGGCCTGTAGACGTGTGGAGAGCAAGTAATGGTAACAATATATTCTACAATATATTCTAACAGGACTCTAGGAACTTGTATCTCTCTGGTTTTCAACCCCATTTGATCCTGTGATCCGGATATATTCTTACTATAGGTTTGGTTTTTGACACCATTGATTTTGTGATTTTGGATATCATCCGCAAACTTTTTTAATGGGCTGATTTTTAAAAATATTGAGCTTGTCGAATTAGAAATTTGTTCTTTAATGTGGTGAAATTTTTGTATGATCCATGTGTAATTGTGATGAATCATCCAAAGTTTAATGGTGCAGTGCAATATGGACGGATGCAAAGGTCGTAATTCCTTGGTAGGCCAACAATTTTATACGAATCTCGCATATGTTGTTGATGTGGAGCCAAAGTTGTGGTTACCTGTTCGCCTTGTTGAAGGCAGATTGTGCAGGGAGATAAAAGGGAACCTTTTATGCATTCGAGAAGAAGCACGGAAAGCAATGCAAGACACTCTTCCAGATCAATATGTTATGTAAGAATGCCTTTTCCAGTTTATTTTTTGATAATTACGTATTCTACTAAGATAACAATAAATTCTAGTATATTATGTTGGGATTCTGAATCTTAACTACTGTAGAGATGTCGGGTACCTTTCTCCTTTTCACATCCTGTGATTGGACTGTTAATGATTGGTACTTGATACTCATTGACTCCCACAAGAGGCATCTCATTTTGTTATTTGTGATGCAATTAGCCTAATGACTTCAACATTTCATTTTTTATATTGGCCAATACTTGGTCATTTCACTAATGAGGATATATGTAAATCAATAATAAATGAAGACATTTTATTTTAATTACCAAATCACCATCTCTGATTTGATAGGTGGGTATCTATCTACCATATTGAATTTGGTAATTGAAGATAACATGTTTATTTATTATTGATCCATATAAGTGATCAGTATGGTGTCTATCCTCAGTAATGAAAACCTAAGTATTATTCTTTTATATATATATATATATATATATATATTAAATATGCAAAGTGTTTCAGTATTTATTTATTAATTGATATATATTCTATAACACTCAAAATTACCAAATAAAATTAAAATTAATTCAAATTAACAAAATATAAAAAAGTTTAATTCAAATTACAAAGTCCCACATTTGTTTTAAGTAAAAAAGATTACATGAAAGCCTCCTATAAAACTATAGAGCTAAAAAAATAATAATCATACCTTCTCGGCCTTTTGGCAAATATCAAGTGTAGTACTAAATTTTTTTTGGTTGGTCTTTTGGCTAAGATCAAGTGTAGCATTACTTTTTCGGTCTTTGTGTAAAGAGTTTCAGTATTTATTTATTAATTGATATAAATTCTATAAAACTCAAAATTTCAAATTAACAAAATATAAAAATAGTTTAATTCACAATAAAGAGGTCTCATTAATTATTATATCCCTACGATATAAATTCTATAAAACTTAAAATTACCTAAAAAATTAAAATTCAATCTATAATCAATTGTGCTTGACCAAATGGCCCATAAATTAACTTATTTATCTATTTATTATTATCAATTTTTTAATAAAAGAAAATCTAATTAGACAAAAATTATTAATATAAAAATATTTATTAATTGATATATAAAACAAAAATAATTTTTCTAAAACTCTAATAAATTAGCTTTTATTATAAGTTTCTTAGTAAAATTAAATCTAATTAAACAAGGATATATTTAAAGAAAATAAAATAATTTCTATAAAAATCTATCACAAATTACATATTTTATTTTCAATAAAATTATATCACACCAGACAAAGATATATTTAAAGAGTTTCTATAAAACTCTAACACAAATTATCTATTTATTATGAGTTTTTTAATAAAAGAAAATCTAATTAAACAAGTATTGTTAATATAAAAAACTATTTATTAATTGGATGAAAAGAGAGAAGCATTTTAATAATAAAAAAAATAATAATAAATGTGTAATAAAAGGGAAGTAGCTAATTGTAAAAATTGCCGGGTGGAAACTATACAAAATTTGTCATATGTTCACCACTTTTTTTTTTGGATCGAGATGTAATCTACCAACATGTACATGCAGTTCCCTTATTCTGCATGCATGGAATAATTATTGAAATTTTTTTTCTGAGGTGACAACCTGTTGGATGTGAGTTGTGAGTCTTGCCATCATACTATAACCTTGTAGGTTCCATTTTTTTTTTTCCTAGTTGATATTCACATATACTTGTCTCTTTTGAGACTTGAATTCCTGACATCTCTTTGCGAAGCAAGAGGATGGTACCGCTAGGCTACTAACTCATTGGATCGTACAAAATTTGCGCACTCTCTTGGATCGTACGAGGGGTTCTATTTTGACCCTATTGGATCATACAAAATTCGCGCACTCTCTTAAAGTAAAATTAAACTCCGTTTACATCTAAAATAAAAGTTTACATATGACACAGACAACTTATTTGTCGTTAGATGACTATTAAATGTGTCTTGATAATTATTAAATTGTTCTTGAGATTAATTAGACCAAAAAAAATAAAAATAAAAATCAGAATGTAAGAAATTTGTGACTTTACCCCAAGCAGGGGTAACAAAGTTTTTATAGTTAGTTTTTTATGCAATGAATCCATAAGAGCTAACTAAGATTTTGAAATATATATATACACCACCCCACTTTTTTGTAATGGCGCTACATTTATCATTTTCTTTTAAAGAAAATGACAAGAAAGTCATTGAATTCATTAATGTCCTTAATTTATAATGTCATAACTATCTTTTATACAACTTATTTTATTATTATTATTATTTTTTACCTTCTTTACTTTTTTTACTATTTTTTTTTCCCTTTCTTTTTGTTTTTTCAGAGGTCCTCTCAAAGAAAATAATTTATTCTATACTAATAACTTTATTTTTGGTAGTCAAAAGGGATAATTTATTTAATAGTAATTATTATTATTTTTTTATTTTATTTATTTATTTATTTTTATACAATCAAAAGAGATATTTATTCAACAAAATTGACTCTTTTTTTTTCAAATTTGTCAAAAGAGATAACTTTATTTTTTGGTAATTTTTCATAGGTCCTGTCAAAATAAATAATTTATTTGATAAAAATAACTTCTTTTTTTTTCTTGTCAAAAGAGATAATTTATTTTTAATCATCTTCCTTTTGTACTTTTTATTATTATTATTATTTTGGGATCTTGACAATAGATATAATTTATTCAATAAATATATTTTTTTGGATTTGTTTCTTCATCTCAAAAGAGATAATTTTTTAAATGATTACTTTTTATTTTTTTATCTGGTCAAAAGAGGCAATTTATTCAACAAAACAATATATATATTTTTTGATACTTAAAATATTTAAAGATTAGAGATAAGGAGAGAAAATATAAAAAGGGTAATTGTGTCATTTAAAAAGTAATAATTATTTACTTATAAAGGTAAGATTAGAATTGTCATTTCATTTAAGATTGTAATGCAAATATTAAAAATTAGAGTGCAAATATTACTTCCTTTTATATATATATATATATATATATATATATATTTATATATGTAAATTTCTTCACATTATTATTATAGGTAACGCGAAACCAACATCGCGAAAGAGTCTCGAACCTGACGTGGCTGCCACGTCAAAAAAAAAAAAAAAAAAAAAAAAAAAAGAGAAAAAAAAAAGAAGAGAAAAACGACGCTTCCTTTCTTGCGCTACGTAACGGAGGAAAATATTAAGAACAAAAAACAATTGTCGACCAAAAACACGGTGGTGGCGACTGATTAATGAAACTTTTATAATTTTCATAATGCCCTCGTTGTATAAGTAAACAATTCTTTACCCCAAGCGAATCCCAAATAAAACCCCAATATTTCACGCTTTGTTGCTTTGCATCTTTTTTAGGGTTTCTGCCTCATCAAGTTCTCGTCCAATTTCTCTCATTTCTGTAACTTCCCAAGTTTTCTTTTGTCAGCGAACACTATGGAGCCACCGATGGTCTCTACCATGGACAAGAAACCATCCATATTAGAGGGACTGTGTTTTTTTTTTGGGGTGTGTTCGTTTTTCCATCTTGGTATGAACAATTGAAGAACACAATATATGGTATTTTACCGACGGATTTGTCCCAGAAGCAATATATATATATACACACACACACTTCTAAATGTATATTGTTGATTTCATTATAATACCTCACTCCAGTAACATTTTTTTTTAATTTTTTTATACATATCTACTTGTCGTTTTCTAATGATTGTTAGGTTTTTGTTTTTTTTTTTTTAGTTTTTTGTTTTAACTCGATTTTGGTTCACTGGTTTTGTTTATTATTAACGTTTAGTTTATGATTTTGTTTATTTATTAGAGGAATGACTATTAGTCTTTTTATTTTTCTTTATATATGTGGCCTATCCTTTGAATTTTCTACATATATGTAACTATAAGCATTGGTGTTATATCTTAGTTGACTATTTAATAATTGATATGTTCATAAGGTAAATTAGATGGAAGTGGAGTGTCATATGGAGTAATAATACCATATTGCGATTCAACTGTTTGATGAAATTCCTCATAAGAAAGCTTAACTCTTTACCTAAACATATGAACTGTTTCTAATTTTATTTATGTCCATAATTTCAAAGCCCCCTCTTGTATGTACCATACACATCCATCTTGTGTTGTGTGAAACTGGAGATTTTGGTGTGTGGCTTCTCGCCCCATGGTAGGATATTCATAGCAGATAACTGAAACTTTTGGTCTGTCATTTATGTTCCTCCCATGGAGGTTGTTAGTGCACAATCCAATGCAAGCGCTAATGAGGAGATGACCGGCGCAACAAATGTTGAAAAGGGATGAGTGATGAGGTAAGAGTTCTTTTCTTTTTTCTTGTACATGCTCCCATTGCTATTTTAAGATCTAAATATTTTCTTAAACTCCAAGAGGAGTAATCAAAGTATTTTTGTGAGTTGTAACTTTTCCAAAAAAATTTGATTAACAACTTTTCAATGTTTTTACAATGATTTCATTTAAAATGCTAGAAAGTTGATTATAGTTGAATAAATTAATAATAATATTGTAGGAATGCAGAGAGAAATCAACCTCAATTTTCAAATGTACGATTTCATACCAATTATTTTGTTTCTTCTAATTTGTTACCTTTATTGGACATAGGTGATCACACTTTATTTTCTAAGGTAAATCATATAGGGAGATTCATCATTTTTTAATTTATGAATTTAAAATTTTATTTTAATTGGTATATTTTTTTGTAGTAAAATCGTTACAATTGTAATTTGCTGATAAAAGTTAAGTTGCTTTTTTTAAGTCAACATTGTATGTAGCTTAAATGCTTTTGAAAGATGATTAACCTTGTAAGTAGTCCATTCTTTGTGTTTGCTTTACGAGGGGGGACTTCTTTGCTGCTTATGGTAATTGAAAGGAAAACCTTCTTTAATTTAGACTTAACTTATTGCTTTTGCTTTGTTCAGTTCAGAATTTCATATTAACGATAACGAGTGCGGAGTTCAAGCATGGGGAACATAATTTGACCCGCAGTTCATCTAATTAACTTCTTAAAAATGTTTAATTGTTTTGTTGATTGCTTTCGGTGCTATATCTTTGAGTATGATGGAGATATAACATGATTTCAAATGGAGAGATATATGACAGATGACTAAATTTGGCAATGGGATGAGATGTGAAAATCTAGCGAAGAATGGTGTTAGCAGTTAAGAGATTGAAGATGGAGAAATAGAGCTA